TCCCTCGTCCGCTTGCAGCCCTGCCCACCATAAAATCTCGGTGATCTACACGCGCTCTTGTCGAGAGAACACCCCGTCGATGCCGCCGGCACGCCTGCGAGGTGGAAGATATGCGCAGGACGCACGCTTGCCCCTCACCCCCCGCCTCCACACCTAAATATCTCACCCCTCCCTCCTCCCCCGCCTCCTCCCCCTCCCCCTCCTCCTCCTCCTCCTCCTCCTCCTCCTCCTCCTCCACCTCCATCTCTCCTCTTCTCTCCTCTTTCTTTCACTCTTTCTCGGCGGCGCGACCAGGGGTGAGGGCAGAGGGGGCGGGCGTTCAGAAGGCTCAGAAGGCCTCCGACCTTCCGAGGATCTTTCCAAACCTTCTTCCGGAGAGACGTAAGACTCGGGCGCGGGGGGCTCGACTTGTCCTGAACATTCATCCCATCATGGAAATGACGAGACCCAACCTGGAATTTGACGCGAACTCCCGCTGCAAACATCCCACGGACACTGGGCCGTCAAAATCCAGGACGCGCCCGTCAAATTGCGCCGGCAGGCCCGAGTTCCGGCGTACTCGAGTCTTACGTTTCCCCGATTCCTCGAAGGCGCCCACGGCTTCTCATCATCGCCGAACGTCGCCGCCTAGCAGCCAGCACGGAGTGGCACCACGAATCAAGCGAGGGAGGCGGAGGAGGAGGACGAGGAGGAGGACGAGGGGGGGAGGCGACATGTCGCCAGATCTGGGCGCCCAGCGGCGGGGAGGCCCTCTGTGGCGCCGTCCCTCTGCCAGGGCCGCACTCACGCGCATTCGAAGCGCACCCCGAGGCGGAGGAGGAGGCGGAGGACGAGTACGAGGGAGGGGCGACACCACGCCCTCTCAGGGCGCCGGGCGGTCGGGAGGCCTTCTGAGGCGCCGTCCCTCCGCCAGGCCCGCACACTCGCACACGCAAAGCACACCCCGGGGCGGAGGAGGCGGAGAGGAGGAAGAGGCGGACGAGGAAGAGGGGGGGAGGCGAAGGGTCGCTCTCTCTGGGCGTCCGGCGGCGGGGAGGCCTTTTTTTTGTTTTTCTGTTTTTGCTGCCACACCGCATCGGTCGCCGAAAGGCACAGCTAAACTGCTTGGCACGTTCTCTTTCAAAACCGGCCGCTGCTTGTGGAAGTGCCTCTACTTTGGGGCGACCGTGACCAGCCACCGCGGGGAGCGCGGCAGGTGGGTGAGGGGCCCAGGGCAATTATGGCAATGGAGCGAAGCTTCCGCGCGGTCCCCCCGCCAGGCCCGTTCGCGCGCGCTCGCAGCGCGCCCTGATATCACGCCCTCTCTGGACGCCCGGCGGCGGGGGGGGGCCTCTGCGCGCAACAGGACGGCACCTGCGGACTCCGAGGCCCCTCTGGGCGCCGAGCTGGGCGACAGAGGGGCCAGCAAGACAAGGGCAAGGAGGGCCAAGCACAAGCGGAGAGGGAGAGCGGGGAGCCAAGAGCCACAGCCGAGGGGGGGGGAGGGAGACAGACCAGACACAGGGGACGGGCGGGCCGACGGACGGGGGAGGGGAATCGAGGGGAACAAGAGGGAGGCACCACACCACGAGGGCAAAGAGAGGCACGGAGGAAGAGGGAGAGGGAGCCGAGGGCCGAGGAGCCGAAGGAGGAAAAAGGGAGGCACACGCCCAGAGGCAGGGAAGGAGAAGGAAGAGGGGCACGCAGTCCAAGGGCGTGCGCGCGAGGGCGGAGGGCGGAGGAAAACGGTTCCGGGGAGAGGAAAAGAGAAACATGCTGGCGGCCGGGAGATTACTGTCGGCGCGCCTCTGGCTTCTGTAAATTTGCTGCCGCCAGCGTGCGCCACGAGCGAGCGAACGAAAGCAACTGCGCCTTGACGGCGCATTGGCTCCTCCTCCTCTTCCTCCTCGTCCTCGTCCTCATCGTCATCGTCATCCTCCTCCTCCACCTCGTCCTCCTCCTCCTCCTCTTCTTCCTCGTCCTCCCTCTCCCCCCCTCGTCCTTCCATCATCGTCCTCCCATTGTCGTCCTCCCCCTCATCGGCCTCCATATCATGGTCCTCCCATTGTCGTCCATCATCATCCTCCTCCCCGTCCTCCCCCTCCTCCCCCTTCTCCCCCTCCTCGTCCTCCTCGTCCTCCTCCTCCTCTTTCTCCACATTCTCCTTACATCCTCTCGTTTTCCTTACATTATTTCGCGTCCTCCTCGTCCCTTTTTTACTTCTCCTGCCTCCCCCTCCTTTCCAAAGATAACGGCAACGCAGTCCTTTTTTCCACTTTATGCTCCCCGACTTCTCTGATCAAGGCAACTCGCCAGGGCAAAATTGCTGGACGGACTGTTGTGGATGCGCGGGGCTTGAAGAGGTCGTTGCGGGCTCAGACGGCATGCAAAAACCTGACCGCACAAGAACAGGAAGCGCCGTTTTTGCTCATAGCAGTGTTTGTCGTCAAAGCTCTGGACGCCAGCGTTCGTACTGGGAGCTCTGGCGTTCGAAGCTGCCCACGTCATCGTTCGTAATGGAGCCTTGGGATGTCGTGGTGGGTCTCTCGTAGGCCTCTTAGAAGCAATTCTGAAGCCTCTTGGGGGCCGTTTTTTGGGGCCGTCTTGGGGGCATCTTGGGGGCCTTTTTGGGGCCTCTTGGAGCGTCTTGGGGGGCTCCCGGGGGCCTCCTGGACCCTCCGGGGGGGCACTTGGGGCCGAGGACCCGAAAAGTACGTTCGTGTACCTCGTCTGGGCCCCCCCTAGGAGCCATATTGATGGCCTCTTGGGCCGCCGCGAAGCCTCTTGGGGCCGTCTTGGGGCCGCCTTGGGGCCTTCTGGTGCCTTTTTGGGGCCGTCTTGGGGGCCTCTTGGGCCGTCTTGAGGCGATCTTGGGGGCCTCTTGGGCCGTCTTGGGGCGATTTTAGGGGCCTCTTGGGCCGTCTTGGAGCGTCGGGAAACGGAGAAGGCGAGAACCCCAAAAACCTTCAAAAACTATGCAGCAATCATAGATTTGTGCCTCCTTTGCGCTCTTGTGAGGCCTCTTCGAAGCCTCTTGAGGCGTCTTGGAGGCCTCTTGAGGGCCTCCTGGGCCGTCTTGGAGCTCTCTTGGACCGTCTGGAAGCCATCTTAGGGCATCTTGGAACGCTCTAGGGCGGTCTTGGAGCGCTCTTGGGCCGTCTTGGAGCCCTGGTGGCCGTTTTGGGCGCGTCTTGGTCAGATTTTTTGAGCGGAGTGACAGTCCCACCAGCCCTCTGGGCGTAGGTGGTCTAGAACAGATCCTCTTCCACCCCTCCCTCTTCCCCCTTGGGGAGGGGTTTACCCCTCCCCCTACCCCCTCCCCTGGACCTGGACGGGGGGGGCCGCGGGTAGTTAGAGCGTCCAAGATGGCCCAAGACGGCTCCAAGAGCGCCTCAGAGAACCCAAGATGAGCTCCAAGATGGCTCAAGATAGCGCAAGATCGCTCACGATGGCTCCTAAGATGGTTCCAAGAAGCCCAAAGACGGCCCCAAGATAACTCCAAGTGGCCAAACAGCTCCCCAAGGAGGCCCCGAAGAGGCCAAAATCGTCCCAAAACCTAAGGAAAATCAATGATTTTTGCTTTCTCGCCTTTTCGCTTCCGATGGCCATCCGAGGCCTGGAGATGGCTCCAAGATGGCCCAAGAGGGCCCCAAGAGAGCCCCAAAAGAGCCCCAAGACGGCCCCAAGAGCGCCCAAGAGCACTCCAAGAGCGTTCCAAGAGGGGTCCAAGAGGCGATTTTAGGGGCTTCCGAGGGGGGGCGCTAATTGAACCCCCCCTCTTGTTTGATCGACTCCCTCCAAGATGGCCCCAAAAGCGCCCCGAAGGCTCCCCAGAGCGCCTCAAGAGGGTCCCAAGAGGCGCCCAAGATGCCCCAAGGCGCCCAAAAAGCCCTCCAAGAGGCCCTCAAAAGACCCCCAAGAAGCTCCTTCCCCTCCTCCTCCTCCTCCTCCGATTCTTCCTCCTTCTCCGTCCTCCTCCTCCTCCTCCTCCTCCTCTTCCCCCTCCTCCTCCTCCTCCTCCTCCGACGACGACGACGACGACGACTCCTCTTCCATCCTCCCCCTCTCGGGGTCTGTGACAGCTTCCCCCGCCCTTTGTTATTCTGCATGCTCCCCGACTTCCCTGATCACCTCAACTCCCCTGAGCATCGTTTCTGGATGGGCTGGTGGGGATACGCGAAGCGTCAACAATGTTCTTAGAACATAAACTCGATGTCTTAAAACAAGACAATCCCAGCAAGGCATGTTCTAAGGACATCTCGTGGAAACCACAAACGGTTCTTAGAACATTGTTTGGTAGATCTATGGGCACGCCAGGACGCTTCGCCACTGCTTGACAGGGGGCTGCCATGGTCGGCTGGGTTCCCAAGGTCCAGAAGCCCAGCGCGGCCCTGACGACCCAGGGGGCCCATGGGCTCGCGCGGCGCACTGGGCCCATGCGCATTGCGGCGCCCGTGTGGCCCAAGACACCTTTCTGAAGATCGCCTCAAGAGGGGCCCAAGAGGGCCTCCGAATGACCCAAGAGGCCTCTAAGACGGCCCAAGAGGCCCCCAAGACGGCTCCAAGAGGGTGACCAGACGGGGGGCCCGACCAGACATGTCGACCGCCGCTCGGCCCCGAGAGGCTCCCAGGAGCCCCAAGAGTCCTCTCAAGAGGCCCCAGGCGGCCCCCAGGAGGCCCCCGGGAAGCCCAAAGAGGCCCCCAAGAGGCTCCAGCAAGGCATCCATGGGGCCTCCGAAAGGCTCCCAAACTGCCTCCCATAGTTTCCCCAGAGAACTCCGAAGACACCCCAAGATACATCCATGAAGACTCTGACCCATGTCAGTGTCGCCGTCATCGTCGTCGCCGCCGCCGTCGTCGTCGTCCCCCTCCAGGGTCCGCGGCACTGGCCTTAAGGCCTTCGCAATATCGTCTCAGACGAGCACCATCCTGTTCCTCCTCCACATGTTCCTCCTACTCAGTCTCTCCAACTCCTTCTCCCTTTCGAGCACTTTTCGTGACTGATCATCGGGGCCGTGGGCTCAGAAATGGCCAGGCTGATGTTCTTGCGGCCCGCCAGCACGTCGTCCACCACTAGATCCTTGGTGATGAAGGATGCAGGAGAAATGGGGGCACAAGAAGAACCTGGAGGAGGATCGTGAGGAAGGTGAGGGAGATGAGAGGCGGAGGACAACTAAGAAGGGGAGGAGAGGGGTCGCGAGAGCGAAAATATCTACAATACCCCGCGACGTGCTGGAGTGCTGGGGTGAGGTCCCGTCGTTCATGCGGCGCCCGTGCCCAGGAGCCATGGGCCTATCGAGGACGGACACTGACATCGGTGTGACAAATTACCGACCTCGCGCTGCCAATATGCCGACGACGTGTTGCGGACGTGTGGAATTGCCGTGAGGAGCCGTTTGCAGCTATCGCTTTTCGGATGCGACAGTATGGCACGCGACAACAAGGACAACGGACAACGCGTTAGCAACAGTTACATGGCGCGGTACGCAACATCGACGCATGACCCCGCACTATGCTGGAGAACACTCCATCGAATCGTTCCCGCGCACCATGATATCCCAGCGTGCTGGTGGTGTGCAAAGCAGGGGATGACGACATATCCCTCTCTGTGCCGCATTCATCACCTATACATGCATTCACACTATATAGTATCCCCTTGTAACACTGGCATGTCTGCCTCCTCCAATTGTACTCCCTACGTTTAACGCCTCTACTACCTCCTCAGCTATCTCTACTCTCTGCTCTGCACTCGCTGCTGTTGGATGTACATGCTGCACCCTGCTCCGCTCGCTCTTTTACATCGCCCCCCCCCCCCCCGCAGTTGCGGATAGGAGTGAAGGGGCGGGGGGGTCGTGGACATCCTGCGAGGCTCGACTGCGAATGTGACGAGGTCCGCCGCAAGTGCCGACGCTTAACACATTGCCCAGCGAGCCAACCGCAATCGCCGAACTCGTTGACACAATGTGGGCTGGTCACGGGTGGGTCGCGGGTGGATCGACGAGTAGGTCGCGGGTGAATCGCGAGCGGGACGACGACGTCAAAACAGCAACAAGGATCCGCGTCACGGAATCACTCTGCTGCAGCGCACCCACGGGCGATGCAAGACCCTTCGGCCCTCTCGTTCCGACATGTCGTCTTCACCCTCTGCCCTCTGCACTCTGATGTCGATCATCTGCTCCCTCTCATCCCGCCGGCCCTTTTGGGCGTACATGGGTTCGGTGATCCATCCCTCTCCTCCCCCCTTCGGGGAGGGGTCCCTCCCCCCTCCCCTGGGCCTAGACGGACGAGGCCCCGAACCTTAGCAGCGCCCAAGGAGGTCCCAGATTGCCTGATATTCTCCAAGGTGCTAGGAGGCCTCACGACCGCCACAAGGCAGCTCCAAGTGGGCACGGAGTCTCCCAAGGGCGCCCACGAAAGGCCAACAAGCGCTTACAAAAAAAACCAAACGAGGTGTCCCTTCTCGCCGTTTCACTTCCAACATGGTTTCTGAGGCCTCAGTATGGCTCCAGGGCCGCCCAAGAGAGACCCAAGGGGGATCCAGGATGGCATGGCTCCAAAACGGCCCCGAGAGCGCCCAAGTGCGCCCCAAAAGCGTCTCAAGAGAGCACCAAGAGGAGATCGAGGCTTCGGGCTTTAACAGTGTGGGGGGGGGGGAAATTGTTGGCGCCTCTTGTCATCGGGTGAACTCCCATACGACCCCCAGAGGGCTCCCATGGCCTCAACAGATCTCCAAAGGCTTCCACACTGGTACGGGCGAGCCCCGAAAAGGCACCAGCTGAGCCTCCAAGAGGCCGCCTCCCGAGATATCTGCAGCTGCAATGTCGGTTTACAGTGGAGGCCAGTCCACAAGAAACCTTCCACAAGAAACCCAACCCTGAGACCCCAGGACGTCCATGGACGTCCAGGACCCCAGGCGCTTTCAACAGCAAAAGGACCGAAACCCAAGAAACCCAGGGCACCCTGGAGGCAAGCAGGGTGTCTCTTGGCATACACCTCCACTGTACACTTCCCCGATCAAGGCAACTCTTGGCGGCGAGCAAGGGGGGGAATGAGCAGGGGCGGCCCTTCCCGGAAAGCTCGGGACCCCCGGCTATCTGGGGGAAGTGTTCTGAGCCTTCCTCGACAAAGACAGCGAGCACCTCTCAGGAGGCGTGAGGGCTTCCGAACGAGAAGTCCCGCCGCCTTCTGAGTGGCCACGTCCTTCTCATTTCCTCCCCCACCTCGCTCGCCACCGAAACTCGCCTTGGCATTATTTCTGCACAGGCTGTCAGGAGTACGTGCGCGACGCGTCAACACGGCAGGGGGCCCTCGGCAGCCTCGAGAGCTTTGGAGGATCGGCTGGTCAAATTACCAGACAGCCTCGAATCGGCGGCGAGCGAGGGGGGAAGTGAAAAGGAGAAGGCCTCATCAGGAGACGGCGGAACCTCCCAGAAGGCCCCCCAGCCTTCCGAGAGCTGTCCTGTGTCTTCGGGGAAGACTCAGAGAACTTCTCAGAGGACGCCTTCTGAGGAAGCCTTCTCCGTCCGAGGGAGCCTTCTCCTTCTGAGGAAGCCTCCTCCGAACCTTCTGAGGAGGCCTTCTCCTTCTCCCCCCCCCCCGGGCGCGCCGCCGATTGAAGGAGAGGGGGCGCGGGGGCTCGCTTCTCCCCGCCGACCCCTGGGCGAACCAAGTCTGGGGCCCCGGACTCTTGGGCGGCGCCCAAGAAGGTCCCAGAGTGCCCCACGATGGCGCCGTGGTGGTCCGAGATGCTCCAGTCGTGCCACCAAGATGGCACGCGATGGCTCGATATGGCTGCCAAGATGCCTCCAAGAAGCCCCACTGCCGTCCCAAGACGGCTCCGAGTGGCCAATGATTCTTCCAACGAGGAATTCAAAAAAACGCTCGTCTTCTCGCCTTTTCGCATCGTCAGGCCTTCTGCCTCAAGATGGCTCCAATACGGCCCAAGAGAGCTCCAACAAGGACCAGTAAGGGCTCTCACACGGCTCCAAGGGCGCCCCAGAATCGCCCAGATGGCGCCCCGAGAGGCGATGTTGAGGGCCCCGACGCGGGGTCCTAAAAAAGCGCTACCCCCTTCTGTGATTGATGGCCTTCATGATCACCCCAAGAAGGATCCCAAGGGGGCTCCAGGTGAGCCCCAAGCACATCCAACATGGCCCCACGGCAGCTTCCAGATGCTCCCCGAGGTCCCTGACTTTACCACTGCTGGTCTCCATGCTTCGCTACTGCTTGCCGATGCCCCCTCATCTATACAAAGAAGCAAGTGGCACGCGTGCCCTGGCTCTTCCACCACGGAGCTGCGAGGGACAGGAGCCGTTCGCTTCCTTCCTCCAGGACTTTCCTTCTGTGGCCGGGGGGGAGGACGAACGACGAGCGAACGAACGAATGACGACGAAAGTTAAGAGGTCTGAGCTCTAGAACACAGCGGTGTCAAATAATAATTCCTGGATGGGCTGGTGCTTGGTGTCAACCGTGAGAGCGGCCGCTACATTGTTCGAGTAACCGATGGGCCGTGCCTACCGTTGGGTCGGGCATGTCCCCCTACAGGCGGATTTTGGACGAAAATGAAACATACCCCCAAAATGCTCAAGAGTAGCCAAAACATACCAACAGAAATACAAAAAAAATAGTCCAGAGGGCTATGTTTTGAGTATGTTTGACTGTTCCTCCTGTAGAGGGATAGGCCCGACTTAAGCCTACCGCAGCCTACCGCCGACCACTGATTTGGGGCCAGTCCCTCCGTATGGGGCGCGCTTGCTCGCTCGTTCGCTCGATGGGCCGCGCCAGAGCTCCTGGCACGCTGGGAGACGTGGAAAAGAAGAGGGCGGCCGCAGGGGAGGAACGAAGGGGGAGCAGGGGAACGAACAATGACACAAACACAAAAGCTTGGAGACCCGCGCGGATTTCTTTGGCGGCGCCTCCGGCGCCGCCCTTGGCGCGCTGTGCGCGCCAGGGAGGGGAGTCCAGCGCCGATCCGAGAAATCCGCGCGGACCTCCGAGTTTTTCTATGTTTATGTCAGCGTTCGTTCCCCCAGGGAGGTCTCAAACATAGACCATCTACGCAACAAGGAGCGCGCAGGCAGCTTCAGGCACCGGGCTGGTGTGGATCCCGCGAGGCGGCAAGAATTGCCCGCCATTCATGGCGAGCTGAGGCAGCGGGAAAACGCGCACGCTGCTAAGCCTGAGACGTGCCGAACCATTGCGGTAGTGAGGGGGCATGAAATCAACGGGTGCTCAATGCTTTCAGTATGTCGCGGGTTATCCTGGGGAGCCCCAGGGCTACCCCACACTTGCATCGGCAAAAGGCATGTCACGAGCTCTCAGGACATGCCACCAACTCTTTGTTTGCATGCCATGCCTTTCCACCAGAGCTACCGAGAGCCACGAGAGGAGGCAATGCAAATCACTGGAACAAAACTTGCCAACCGTGGCGAGTTCAAGCAGCCCAGCACAGCGACCATAGCGAGACTATTGCGCAGCAAGACATTTGCTCTGACAACATGAGCGCCCAAAGGACGGACACATCATGCGCTGCGAGCTGCGGCGGGCCAGAAGCGCAAGCATTTCCCTCCTCTTCCTCCTTATCCCTCCTCCTCACCCTCCCCCTCCTCCTCCACGAGGAGCGAAAAGGCGCTCCCTACTTTGCGCCGAAAGACAAAAACACAAATTATTATCCTGGCGCGCGGAGCGCGCACGTGCGCACGGGAAAGCAACCGTTGCGCCTTCCCAGGTGGGGGGGAGAGAGGAAGAGAAGGCGGAGGTCTGACGCTCGAACCTCCTCTCGGAGGTTCAACGACAAGGTCCTGAGGGATGTGGCTTCAAGGACGCGGAACCTCAGACAGTGCAGATTCACCCTTGGACCCCTTCCTATCCTTAGGACCTCATCCCTCGGGGCCCGATCTTTGAACCACCGATCCTCAGCGATTCGGTGATGCAGACAGTGTCGAGCGATCGCCCCGATGCCCTCGAACCCTCCCGCCGGTCGGTGGAGGGGCGCATGAATGAAAAGCAAAAGGTAATGCGAAGGAACATGACCAGACAGAGACAGAGGCCCGGTCAAACCACATGGGTTGACCCGTAAAC